CAATGCTGAAACGCCGAATAAAAGAACGTTCACTGTTCCTGAGGCTTCGGAATGTTGCGCAGGCGTGAAGAGACACAGTACCTTCAACATGCGTACACATAGCCGAACGTTCGAAACACATACAAGATCCTGGCAGCTGCTGAGACTTGTCAATGCCCCCATGCACGCGCAAACTCAACTTCGGCCTCTGATCTGTCAGATTGGCGCGTCCTGTTGCTCTTCCATCCTGCCAAGTGTTCAACAACTTTCTTCATAAGTATCCATCCCGCCTGCTTCGCAATGACTACTCTCGCGGGTTTGCTAATGCTTATCATGGTTCGCAATGGTTAACACTCCTCACCATCCTGAGGAGGGTAGGGGGAGCCGCCGTTGTGCCCATGCCCTTTCGTGTGCGCGACGGCTTCTCCTTGTGAGGAGGGCGCAACTGATGAAAGCTGACGAGACTGGCGGTCAACGCAGCTGCTAACAACCCATCAAGTTCTATATCAAAATCGGGCTGGCCACAGTAAAGCAACACCGCTGGCCGAACAACTCTACCTGTATGCCGACCCGCCGCGCAAACTCGGCACGGTGATCAGCAATCATACCAGAAGCTGCACTTGGAGATGTTGTCATGTGGGCGAACTAGAGGACTGGCACCGGAGCAGACACGCAAAACGCAGCCATATACAACTGGACCGAACCGAAACCAGACCAAACGAGAATGGATTAGACGAAGAAAATCCGAAGTGCGGTCTTCATATCAGGCGTCGCCGCTTTCATACATGTAGTCTCGAAGAAGAAAGCTTTCGGATCACGCCCAAACCCTCGCTCCAAAGGGATGGGTTCGCTGGCCCGACTCTCGGTAGGGATGCTCGGAGGACTGGTGTGCGCATGAGCGGGAGAGCAACTGCATTCCGCGCTCGGACTTACATCAATTGGACGGGTAGGATGAGAGGCAGGTCTGGGAGGGAAATTGCAGCGCGGGGGGGGGGATGCACAGAAGAAGAATTTAACAAACCAAGGATGGATTGCAAAGCAAAGGAGCTGGACCGCACGGGAGGTCTTGGGGAATCGAAAGGGGTCGGCTGGCGGGTCGAACGGTCGTAATCGAACCATAAGCAGGGTAACCTTGGTATTGAGAAGGTGACTAAGCACGGCAGGGTAGCCGAGCATGAGGGGAGCGTCAAGGACAGAGCTCAAGACACAGGCGAGCCGAGTACGACGCCGAATGGATCAAGGGTGCCGATGTCATGACTTGTTCGGTACGCATAGCTCCTCGCTCCCTGAATCAAGCCCAAAATTGCCAGCACACGACAGCGTTGGGTGCGACAGCGCAAGCAAGATACACAAATCAACCAATTGAAAGCGTGGGCACCGAGCAATCGGCGCTTGCACTCTCGACATGCAATATCCATGGTGCAATCTATCATGTGCAGATAATCTTCGAAGAACTTGAACTCGCAAATTCACATGGCCGAAGTAGCATGCCAACCTCCCACTCGCAACTTGTTAGCAACATTCTATTGGCACAGTTTCCCCAATTAACGCATCTCGACAAAATAAGACTGTAACTTCTTAGCTTGTTTCCTGCCGCGCACAGTTGAACAGAACGTGAGAGAGGAGAGTGAGCGAAGGACGACGCCCACGACGACGGAGTGAAGGAAAGATGAGACACGCAGCCCGCCAAACAGCGTTCGAACGCCTTGTTCGCCCCGAGGCGCGCGAAATGTGGTCTTCGAAAGGCAACCAACCAACAATATGGCTGTCCTCGTCAGACCACGAACAGATATGTTGAAGCACTGTTCTTTATCAGGGTTCGTGCGTTTCCCCCTTCAGGGAGGCTACGTCGGACCGTGCCTGTACAACCAGACGTGGAGGCGAAGGAGTGCAAAGGAGTGCGCCGACAGAGGGGTGAGGAGGATCAGGAGGCGGGGGAGGACAGCGAGGAGTCAGATGAGAAAATAGAAGAGAAAGAAGAGCCTCTCATTATACTAACCCGTATGTGCTTATCGGCCCACCCAAGCGCGACCCAACTACGACCATCGGGGGGGAACTGCGCCAACATAGTGGTTGACCATGTCCTCTGAAACACGATGTTTTCTGGGGTGTGTCCGTCCCGTTTGTGATGTGTGGCGTCGGCCCCGGGCTCGCCTCGCCGTGGCGCACTCGGCTCCCCTGGTTGGGTGGACAGCAGATCGGAACTCCCTGGTGGAAGACACAGCTGCAGACACACACACACGCACACACACACACACGCACACACATCGGACCATCGAAACCTGCCTCGAACGTACGTGGCAATATTGTACGTCACCCGGCCGGGTGCCCCGCTGGAGGCTTTTAACCCCCTACGGTAGGCACACACGATGAACAATCTTGTTGTTCGAATATTGGGGCACCTTATTCATCGCTAGTTGAAGTGCCCCAGAGCGTCTGTGAGTCACTGGGGCTATTGGGGGCAAGATTCTCTTCGTGAGGCACCTGCTCGCAAGCCGATATCTTCGTTGATGTGCCGGCTGTACAGGCAGCATCGAGGGTGAGAAAATCGGGTGAAGCCACAAACTAAGGAGGGGCCCCTCCACATACACACACGCACACACATCGCATCGCCCAATATTTAAACGGTTCAGGGCACTAGGGGCCAGGCCCATAGCTCCCAGCCCAGATCTTAGGCTCTCTGGGGCCCAGAAACTCTCAATGTGAAACGCTCTTGATATGCAGTCTGTCGACCGCTCTTCCTGGGCCTCCAACTCACCAATCGCATTCTAACCTTCATGCTGGCAGCGCTCGGGGGATCAGGCGGGCAATAGAGGAGGGCAGACCTTTGCGTCCCAGTCGGTGCACTCCTCGGGACGGGCTGAGCCCACGGACGCGAGAGCGCGGCGGCAATGGCGGCGGGAGGACGAGGAGGACGAGGAGGTGTAGCGCGGTAAGGGCGAGGAGGAACGACGGGCCACACTTTTCCGAACTCTCTTCGCACCGATTCTCCCCGCTTAGCCTGCCAAGGTGATCCGAGAGTGTGCGTTGCTGTTTGCCACGCACGTTGTCCCGCGTTCGACGTCGCATGAACGCGACAACTCTGATGCCAAATCCCGCTCAGCGCAAAAAGTCCCCACAGTCCTGTAGCCGCGCTCGCGCCATCCCCTTGTCAGCGGCTTGTGAACCCACGGGCGCCGATGCCCGCTGCCGACACGGATCCCCGGCGGCCTGCAGCTCGTGCATGCTCTGGTGCCTGGCCTGCACACAAGCTGCGGCGCGGCATTAACACAAGCATCAAGCTTCCGTAGCAACATCCACATGTTCCGAGACTGCTTCGCGATCTGGTTCGGGATGGGGTAGGCGGATCTGCTCCGCCATCTCTTTCCGCTTTGCATCGTGGTGCGCACGACCCGCGCGCGTGAATTGCTGGAGGACTCTGGTGGTGGAATTCGGGTGGGCATCCTCACGGATGGAACTTCTCGTTCGCAGCGTGCAGGGGGTGAATGCTCAAAATCTACTCGGTCCGCCCGTGCAACTCCATGCTGCATCCCCGACCCCGAGGCTGCCTGTGCATAGCCGCCGAGTGGACCTTCGCAGACTATTCACCCTCACGCTGCACCGTATTCCCTTCTTCGTGATCTTGATTGAAGAGGGGAGATTAGTCGGACAGGGGTAACATTGAAGCGCAATCTACCCAGACGGTGACAGGTTCCCGAGACATAATCAATCCCCGGATTTGAAACTGAAACTGCTGTTAGAACAATCCCTGGCCCGTCCCGACAAACCATCCTGGAAGGAGTTTGAGGACAAGCCTGATCTCGACGGGAAGGAAGTCTGACCACTACAGAAATCCAATTGAAATTCCAAGGACTGCATGGCCGGTCAAAAGGCTGGCAGTCGTTTAGACTACGCTCAGCAACACCTGCACATTGTGTATACACAAACAATGCGCATCATTCTACGGCAACGCATCGTGCAACACACGCACCAGGTAATGCTTTGACTTGAGCACAGTGTGCATCTGTACACATATATATATATATATATATATATATATATATATATATATATATATTTATACATTAGCACATATATATAGAGAGAGAGAGAGAGAGAGAGAGCGGGCGTGCTATACCATGTTTGGACACGTAGTGAATGTGTGGTTCGCGTTTGAGTGCGTGATGTTCACACGAATACTCACATTCGGAGATGCAATATATGCGCGCGGTGTGAAAACAGGATGAATACACATAGCGCTATACTTACGCGAGAGTGTATTTCAGCGACGCTTGGCTTGGCAAATCCCTCTCCCCTTCCACACCACCCAAGAACTGTCCCCGTCAACGATCCCCCCCGTCAATTCGCCCCCCCTCGACTGCCCCCACCCCTTCCTGCGAGAAGCCTCCCCCCCCTTCTTTCAAAGTCGGGGGGGGGGGAGGTTGACCTCCCGCGCACTGGCAAACGACAACGACGACGACGCCGAAAACGACGACGACAATAACCACGACGTCGACGATGACCACGACGACGACGCTGCCAACAACAACGACGACGAGGACGACGGCGGCGCGGGACATCAGAGGCGACGGGCGGGCCGGGGCGGGCGGAACAGTAAGGCGGGCGAGTCGGCCGGGGCGGGTGGCCGGGCCTCCCTGGAACAAGCTGGGGCCGCCCCGGGCCAAGGCCACCCCGTGGCGACGCCCGCCCCCGCGGCTCCCGGGTGAGCTCGAAGGCGCCCGGCAACGGCCGCACGCCTGCGGGGCGGCGGCGCCGCCGCGGGGGCGGTTGGCCCGAGCGCCCCCCTCGGCGCCATCGCTGGGCGGCCCGCGCCGCTCCGAGCTCGCGCTTCCCGCTGGCGGTGCTCCTGACATGGCTGCTGCTCCTCGCACCCTCTCTTGCGCGCTGGAGTGCCCGGAGCACCCGATGCAGGTGGGACTTCTTGCAGTCCCAGGACCACTGAGAGCTCCCCGGCAAGGCTGTGCTGGCCCGATGGCGCCGGCAGTGCCTCGCGCCCTCCCTCCCCGCTCTGGCCCTGCCCTATCCTTCGCCTCGCGCGGGTCAACACCGGGCGCTGCACGGCCGGCCTGAGCTGGCCTTGGAGCGCGTCAGGGAGCGGCCTCAGCTCGGGTGTCGGGGGAAGCGGCGAGAGAGGTGGAGCAGCAGGAGATGCAGGCTGTCTGAGCGTCCGATGCACCTGCAAGAACATGATCGACCCACGAACCTGGGAAGGGATTCAGAATTGCGAGGCCTGGGAGCATTCCAATCAAATGCTGAAGATCTCAATGGTGATGCTCCTGTGCCGTGGAGCTGTGTTGTGCTCCTCTGCGCTCTGCCGCGCCGCACGGTGACGTGCCAGGGGACGCGCCACGGAACGTGCCAATGGGCGTGCCAGGGGACGCGCCGTGCGATGTGCACAGGGGGACGCGCCACGGAACGTGCCAGCGGATGTGCTAGGGGACGTGCCAGGGGACGTGGCAGGGGACGAGCCCCGCGACGCGCACAGGGGAGGCGCCAAGGGAAGTGCCAGGGAACGTGCCCGAAGGTCACGATCCCTCATACATTACACTGGGCGATGGGCGATGGGTAGCGGCAATGCTGAAGATATCAATGGTGATGCAACTGTGCCGTTGAGCTGTGATGTGCTTCTCTGCGCTGTACCGCGCCGCACAATGACGTGCCAGGGGACGGGCCACAGAACGTGCCAATGGACGTGCCAAGGAACGCGTCGCGCGATGCGTGCGGCAATGCTGAACATATCGATGATAATGGACCGTGCCAAAGGTTCTGCTGTGCTGTGCCGTGCTGAAATGAACAATGTCATGCCCGGGTGAATTGCGTTGTGCTCTGGAGTGTTGTGGATCAAGTCGCTCTTGGAATCCGAATCCTGACCGAACGGATCTGGATCTTAAGCTCGAGCTGCTTGAGCGAATAACTGGCCCAAGGCTGGTTGCAATCGAAGAGTGTTGGACGCTCAATCAGCTCGAACTCAAGATCCGATTGAGCTCCGAAGCGGGCCGGGACGACACGGGGCGCAAGGTACATAGACGCGCCACGGGAGGTGTGCGGGGCGCACTAGGGGATGCAACAAGGGACGTGTCAGAGGACGTGGCAAGAGACGCGCCACGGAACGGGCAAGGAAAACGCCAATGAACCATTTTCACGCTTGCCCCGCTCTGGAGCGTTAGGAAACCACGTGGTTTCACGCTTGTCCCGCTCTGGGGCGTTAGGGACCCACTTGGTTACACGCTTGTCTCGTTCTGGACGTTAGGAACCCAATGGTTTTCACGCTTATCCCGCTCTAAGGCGTTAGGAACCCACGCGTTTCCACTCTCGTCCCACTCTGGAGAATTAGGAACTCACGTGTTGTCACGGTTGTCCCGCTCTGGGGCATTAGTAACCCACTGGTTTTTCACGCTTGCCCCGCTCTGGGGCGGTAGAAGCCCGTGTGGTTTCACGCTTGTCCCGCTCTGGCCCGCTCTGGGGCGTTAGGAGCCTACGTGTGCTCACGGTTATCCCGCTCTGGGGCATTAGGATCCCGCGCGTGTTCACGGTTGCCCCGCTCTGGGGCGTTAGGAACCCACGTGTGCTCACGGTTATCCCGCTCTGGGGCGTTAGGAACCCACGCGTGTTCACGCTTGTCCTGCTCTGGGGCATCAAGAAGACCGTGTGCTCACGCTTGTTCCGACCTGGGGCGTCAAGACCCCCTGTATTTCCACGCGTGTCCCGCTCTTGGGCGTTCGGAACCATGTGTTTTCACGTTTGTCCTGCTCTGGGGCGTGAGGAACCCAAATGTGTTCACGCTTGTCCCGCTCTAGGGCGTAAGGACCCCGCGTATTGTCACGCTTGAAACGCTCTGGGGCATACATAGCCAACTGTTTTTTCACGCTTGTTCCGCTCTGAAGCGTTCGAACCCGCATGTTTTCACGCGTGTCCGGTTCGGGGGCGTTCGGAGCCTGTGTGTTTTCACGCTGGTCCCGCTCTGGTGCGTTAGGGACCCACGTGTGTTCACGTTTGTCTTGCTCTGGGGCGTTAGGAACCCACGTGTTTTCACGCTCGTCCCGCCCTGGGGCGTTAGGAACCCATGTGTTGTCACGCTTGTTCCGCTCTGGGCCGTCAGGAACCCATCTAGTTTCACGCTTGTCTCGCTCTGGGGTGTTAGGAACCGACGTGTTTTCACGCTTGCCCCGCTCTGGGGCGCTAGGAACCTCCATGTTTTCAGGCTTGTATCGCTCTGAGGCGTTCGAATCCATGTGTCTTGATGTGTGTCCCGTTCGGGGGCGTCAGGACCCGTGTGTTTGCACGCTTGTCCCGCTCTGGGGCGTTCGGAGCCCACGTGTGTTGTCACGCTTGTCCCGCCCTGGGGCGTGAGGAACCAATGTGTTTTCGCGGTTGTCCCGCTCTGGGGCGTTGGAAACGCATGTGGTTTCACGCTTGTCTCGCTCTGGGGTGTTCGGAACCGATGTGTTTTCACGCTTGCCCCGCTCCAGCGCGTTAGAAACCAATGTTTTCACGCATGTCCCGCTCTGAGGCGTTCGCTAGGGCAGTACAGGAATACGTGCAAAGCGCAAAAGGTTCGAGCCTCAGGAGAGGAGCAATCTATTAGACAAAACAAGCGTTTCGCTCGAAACACCCTCAACTAATTATGCAAAACAAGCGTTTCGCTCGAGGCACCCGCAACAAACGGGAATCTTCACTTTACCCTGTCTTTGCTCGACCAGAATTTCAAAACCAGCGTTTCGCTCGGGACATCCTCAATCTTTAATCCGCCGGTCCTCTTCGACTTCGTCATGTATCAGAGATCCAATCCGCCTGCCCTCTTCGATCTTGACACCGGGTACAGTTTACCTACGGAAAAAAAGCTGAACCACGCGCTGTCCAGAAGTAAACAAACACTGAACCCTGGGGCCATCCCATGTTGGCGTGTCCCTGCGCTACCCTGGAAAAGTAATGCAACGCTCACGCGCGGTCCGTCTCCCCGCGCCCCTCATTTGCAATTTGCACGCAGGGCGCCGCGCGATTCGATGTTCCTGCCGTCGGCCGCGGCCGACTCAACATTGTGATCGGGGGTTCCCGGGGGGAGGGGGGCAAGAAATCTCACCGGCCCTCTGGGCGTGAGTGGCGTACAGATTTTCCTCCTCCATCTTCCCTCTTCCCCTTCGGGGAATGGTTTATCACTGCTCCCTGTGAATTAACACACCCTCCCCCAGGCAACCGGCAGCCAACCAGGACCAATGAGGACCCCCCCACACCATTCTTGTCAACAAACAATGTGACATCCACTTTGGGGCAAATTCTTGGGTCATGATCGGGAGGCACTTTGTATTGTTTTTTGACAGGGACGGCGGGGGTGCCCGCATATTGCCTGCTGCGCGCAAGTCCAACATCCCTATCAAACATGATCGATCCACGAACCCAGAAATTGATTGAGAATTGTGAGGCATGAAACCGCTTCTAAGGACCTCAACTGCATATGCAAGTGGGCGGTGCCAGCGTAGCATGCCAGGGGGACGCGCCGCGGAACGTCCCGAGGGACTCGCCAGCGGACTTGCCATGGGGACGCACCGCGAGACGTGCCAAGGGGACGCGCTACGGATCGTGCCAATGGACGTGCCAGGGGACGTGCCAGGGGACGCGCCGCGCGACGTGCCAGGGGGACTCGCCACGGGACGCGCCACGGAACGTGCGAGGGAACGTGCCAGGCGACGCGCCAGGTGACGTGCCAGGGAACGCGTCAGGGAACGTGCCACGGGACGTGGCACGGGACCGCGCTCCCAGGCAAGCCCCTGTTCTGCTCCAAAAAATGCGGCTTGCCTCCCCCCCAAACCTCTCTCCCCAGACACCGCGGAATCAGAAAGGGGCAACGCACGGGGACCCATGAACGAAACCATCACGACGGGACCGCGCTCCCAAGGTCACGATCTCTTGTAAATTACGCTGCGTCCGCTCTCCCTGGGCCACGATCGCTAGTAAACTACGCTGCGTCCGCGCTCCCAAGACAAGAAAGAGCGTGGTCCACCGCCGCTTAACTGTGGAAAATTTCCCCCCCTCTTCCCCCGGAGCCCGGGGGTCCCCCCCCCCTCCGCAAATCCCCCTCCCCCTGCTGGACCCCGCCCCCCCCTTCCCCGGCACCCCCCCCCCCCTCTCCCCTCCCCCCCCCCCCCCTCCGGAAAACCGCGGGGGGTCACTACCGGTTCGAACCCCCTCCCCCCCCCTTCGGAAAACCGGGGGGGGTCACTACTGGTTCGAACCTCTCCCCCCCTCTCACCGCCAGCAACCGACTCCTGGTCCCTACCACCGCCCGCACCACAACCCCCACTGCTGTTCCCAGCGCCACTGTCCTCACCACCACTGTCCCCACTGCTTCCACCACCGTCCCTACTGTCCCCACCAGTGCCCCCACCTCTGTCGCACTGTCCCCACTGTCCCCGCCACTGTTCCCACCACGGTTCTTCTCTCCCCACTTTCTCCACGGCCCCAACCACTGCCCGACTATCCCCACTGTCCCACTGTCTCCTCCGCTGTCCCACTGAGCTTTCCCACTGTTCCCACCACTGTCCCCACTGTCCTCGCCACTGTCCCCACTGTACCTCTGTCCCATTGTCTCACCGCCGTCCTGGCCACCGCCCTCACCACTGTCCCCACCACCACTATACCCTCCACTGTCCCACTGTTTCCACCACATTCCCACTGTCCCCACACCACTGTCCCCACCACCACCGTCCCCACCACTGTCCCACTGTCCCCACTGTTCCCGCCATTGTCCCCGCTGTCCCCACCAGTGCCCCCACCAATGTGTCAATGTCCCCGCTCTCCCCACCATTGTCCCACCACGGTCCCGCTCTCCCCACTTTCCCCACGGTCCCCACCACTGTCCCACTGTCCCCACTGTACCCGCTACTGTCCCACCGTCCCCGCCGCTGTCCCCCCCCCTCCAGAAAACCAGGGGGGGTCACTACGGGTTCGAACCCCCCCCCTCCTCGAAAGCGACTCCCGGTCCCTACCACCGTCCGCACCACATCCCCCACTGCTGCTCCCAGCACCATTGTCACCACCACCACTCCCCACTGGTTCCACCACCGTCCCTACTGTCCCCACCAGTGCCCCCACCCCTGTCGCACTGTCCCCACTGTCCCCGCCACTGTTCCCACCACGATTCCACTCTCCCCACTTTCTCCACGGCCCCAACTACTGCCCGACTATCCCCACTGTCCCACTGTCGCCTCCGCTGTCCCACTGAGCTGTCCCACTGTCCCCACCACTGTCCCCACTGTCCGCACCACTGTCCCCACTGTACCTCTGTCCCATTGTCTCACCGCCGTCCTGGCCACCGCCCTCACCACTGTCCCCACCACCACTGTACGCTCCACTGTCCCACTGTTTCCACCATGTTCCCACTGTCCCCACACCACTGTCCCCACCACCACCGTCCCCACCACTGTCCCACTGTCCCCACTGTTCCCACCATTGTCCCCGCTATCCCCACCAGTGCCCCCACCAGTGTGTCAATGTCCCCGCTCTCCCCACCATTGTCCCGCCACGGTCCCACTCTCCCCACTTTCCCCACGGCCCCCACCACTGTCCCACTGTCCCCACTGTACCCACTGCTGTCCCACCGTCCCCGCCGCTGTCCCGCTGTGCTGTCCCAGCGTCCCCACTGTCCCAATCACTGTCCCACTGTCCACACTGTCCCCACCACTTTCCCCACCGTGCTACTGTCCCACCGCTGTCCTCACCACCGCCTTCACCACTGTCCCCGCCACTACCGTCCTCACTACTATCTTATTGTCTTCATTACTGTCCCGCTGTGTCCCCTCACCACTGTCCCCACCACCGCCGTCCCCACCACTGTCCGCCCCCCGCCCCGGTTTTCGAGGGGGGGGGGAGGGATTCGAACCTGTAGTGACCTCCCCCCCTTTTCATGATGGACTGGGGGGGGGGTCGAACCGGTAGTGGCCCCCCCCGGTTTTCCGCCAGCAACGGCAGAACACGCTCTTTCCAAGATAACGATTTCTTGTAAATCACGCGGCGTCCGCACTCCCGGGACCACTGCCCATCGTAAATTACGCGGGAGTCACGCTCTCAAGGCCACTGTCCTTCGGAAATTACGCTGGGTTCGCGCTCCCAGGGCCATGATCCTTCGGAAATTACGGAGGAATCGCGCTCCAGGGCCGCCGTCCCTTGTAAATTACATTGGTGTCACGCTCCCAGGGCCATGATCCTTCGGAAATTACGCTGGGTTCGCGCTCCCAGGGCCATGATCCTTCGGAAATTACGCTGCGTCCGCACCACCAGGGCCACGATCCTTTATCAATTACGTTGTGTCCGCGCCCCCAGGGGCAAAGCAATATCTTCAATACATGAAACTGTGTCCGCCCCCCGAGGGCCAGGATCCTTAGTAAATTACGCTGCGACCGCGCTCCCAAGGCCACGACCTCTCGTACATTACGCTGAGTCCGCGCCTCCCAGGCTACGATCACTCGTAAACTACGCTGCGTCCGCGCTCCCAAGACAACGCTCCATAGTAAATCGCGCGGCGTCCGCGCACCTCTGCCTCCTCCGTTCCTCCCTCCTTGCCCTCCTCGCCTCAAAGCCTCCCAAACAGGGTCGAAGTCCAACCCCATTTACTTCCACCTGGTTTGAGAGGCCTAGATCAATGGTTCCCACGCCGTTGTTCCATGAACACAATCATGGACACATCCAGGGAGATAAATCCGCTACCCTTTAAGATGGCCATCCTGATCGCTCCCTTCGCGGACAACCATGCGCGGACAACAAAACTACTTGCCGCCATCGCCGCCCCAGGCAGGCACTTGCAAAACTGCAAAACGCGGCATGGCAAGCACGCGTGGTGGTTTTCGGCAGTGCATACGGGAACAAGTGCACTGCAAATGTGGTGGACAAATCCTGCCCCCCGACACATGCCGACGAGGGAGGAACGAGAGAGAGAGAGAGAGAGGACACAGAAGCCAGAAGGCAGAGTGGGAGCGAAAACATCTGGCGGGTTCCGGAAACCCTGACCCCCCATTTGTTGTCATCTCTTGAGGCGGCGATGTTTACTTCCGCCAACCTCCACTGGCCTTCCGCTGGCTTCCGCCGGCCGTGCCGCCGCCGTTTTAGTTCCGCCGCCTTCCGCCGAGAGAGAGAGAGAGAGAGATGTCAACTCCCTCGACCATCGAAGGCAAGACCCTTTTTGGAACGCATCATCAGGCGCAAGGGCACAGTCAACCCGTATCATAAGGATGCGCGATAAGGATGCAAGGGCCTCGGAAGGCTATGTCGACACCTCGCGAGCGGGGCGCGGCCAGCGAAAGCGGCCAAGGATTGGCCGAATGGGTAAGAATGCAAGGGTCCCCTTGGGAAGGTCGCCCATCCTTACTCTGTGGGTTGACTGCGCACGAAGAAAAACGATGGGAGCGCGCTGGAGGCTCGCGATCCTCACAGGGATGCTTCCCTCGTCCTCGGCCCCCCTCCTCGGGCCGCCCGGGACGCTGCTGCCGCCGCTGCTGGGCACCGGGCTCATGGTGGGGGCGAAGTCGGTCCTGCGAGGACGGACACAGAGGACGACTCGGGGGAGGAAGACGCGAGCTTCCTGGCCAAGGGGGCGACGGGCCGCGCCAGCACCGCGGGAAGCGGCCCGGGCAGGGAGAGGAGGTGCCCCGAATCAGCCTCCTGACCGAGCCAGGGGTCCGGGGTGGGGGTAGCGTCGGTAGGTCGGGCACGTCCCCCTACCGGCGGATTTTTGACGAAGGATATAGCAAGCAGTCAAAAAATGCTCAAACAGATTCAAGACATATGACAAATTCGTCACCGGACTATTTTTTGACTCTTCTTGAATGTTCCTCCTGTAGAGGGACGTGCCCGACTTAAGGGTAGCGGCAGAGCATCGCGAGAGCGGGAAGGGAAGCAGCACAGGCACCGCGAGCGGAGGTCCAAGGAAGACGGGCTCAGGGGGCACAGCAGGATGAGGAGAGGCGAAGCAGGAGCGAAGGCTGCAGCCCATGGCGGCCGGTTCCGCGCGACCGCCGCAAAGACTTGTGCGAACATCACGGCTCCTCGTGCCTCCTCCTTCTCCGCCCCCTGTCCCCACCGTCAGAGTACGGGGCCGAGTGGTCTCTCCCAGGGCAGTTCCGCGATACGGAGCATCGTTGTTGGCACCTTCGTCGCACCGCGGCCCTGCCCGCGGCCCGCGCCCACGACACGCGGCCCCCGTGCCTCGCGCCCCGTCCGCCACTGCGACCCACCCACGACCTGCCTGCGGTCGGCCTCTTCGTCCACATCTTGCCTTCCACACGGTATCCCGCCCACCCTCTGGGCGTGGGTGGCTTAGCCTATCTCTCTTCTTCGATCCTCACCCTCTCTCCTCCTCCTCGATCCTCATCCTCTTCTTTCATCCTCCTCCTCCTCCTCCTCGATCCTCTTCCTCCTCCTTCTCCTCCTTCTCCTCCTCCTCCTCCTCGATCCTCCTCCTCCTCCTCCTCCTCCTCCTCCTCGATAGCCTCCTTGTCCTCACATCGAGAAAAGCGATGATATTGCCACAAACCCCGACCGTGAACTACAAGTGGGGATGATTTGTGAGACTGGCAGGGGCAAAGAAAGATCTACCTCTTGGGGGCTTGATTAGACGACGGGGGCGAAGTCCGGCGACGAAATATGCGCCAATCATGGTGTTCGTCTTATGTTGCTCCCGGGAGCTTTTTGTAATATCTTGGGAATTCGTGTGCTCTGTGGTGGACCCGTTAGGGTCCAGTCGCCTCGCGGGATGTGCGTCTGGAGCGCGCAGAGTCTGCGCGTTGTAGGGGTTCGCTGTGTCCTCTGAGGCGCACCTGGGAAATTGTTCTGGTGCATTTCGGGGCCTCTTGTGGGCGTCTGGGGGTGTTCTCGGGACCTCTTCAACGCTCCTTGGTCGTCTCTGGATTCTCTCCCGTCGTCTGGCACCTTCGGAGGCTGTGCTGGCGGTGGCTCTGGGTTGTCTTCGGACCCTCGGGGGGCCTTTTACGGCCGTCATGGTGGTTTCGTCGGCCGTGTTTGGGCGGATTCGTACGTCCCTGGGCCACGATTCCTTGTAAACTACACTGCGTCCATGCTCCCAAGGCCGCGCTCCCTCGTGAATTACCCAGTGTCCGCGCTCCCAGGGCCACGATCCTTGCTAAATTACGCTGCGTCCGCGCTCCCAAGGCTATGATCCTTCGCAAATCCCACCAGCCCTTTGGGCGTGAGTGGTTTAGAGAGCCCGCTCTGTCCTGAACCCCCCTTCTTCCCCTTCGGGGAGGGGTTTACCCCTCCCCCTACCCCCTCCCCCTGGACCTGGAGAGGGAGTCCCGAGCGGTGTCAGGGGGGTCTTTTTCGACTCCTGGGAGGGCCAAAAAACGACGACCCTCTCGAGGATTCTGGCCCCGACGGGGGGAGGGAGTTTGGCCCCTCTGCTCGTCTTTGAAGCAACAATCATTGATTTTACTAAGGTTTGGGCCCATTTTGGCCTCCTGAAGGGGGCCGCGCACATCTTCCTTCATAGCAAAATCATTGATTTTACTAAGGTTTTGGGCTCATTTTGTCCTTCTCAGGGGGCAGCGCTCATTTGCGCTTCTGAGGAGGTCGCAAGAGGCCCCAAGATAGCCCCAAGAGGCCCCCAGGAGGCTCCCAAGAGGCCTCCAAGAGGCCCCCAAGAGGCCCCCAAGAGGCCCCAAGAGGCCCCCAAGAGGCCCCCAAGAGGCCCCCAAGAGCCCCAAGAGGCCCCAAGAGGCCCCCAAGAGGCCCCCAAGAGGCCCCCAAGAGGCCCCAAGAGGCTCCAAGAGGCCCCCAAGAGGCCCCACGAGGAGCCCGAACGACTCACACCAGGACGAGGGGCCCGAACGACTCACACCACGAAGAGCCCGAACGACTCACACCACAAGGAGGGGCCCGAACGACTCACACCAGGACGAGGCGCCCGAACGACTCACACCACGAGGAGCCCGAACGACTCACACCACGACGCGGGCCCCGAACGACTCACACCACGAGGAGCCCGAACGAGTCACACCAGGAGGAGGGGCCCGAACGACTCACACCAGGATGAGGGGCCCGAACAACTCACACCACGAGAAGCCCGAACGACTCACACCAGGACGAAGAGCCCGAACGACTCACACCACGAAGAGCCCGAACGACTCACACCAGGAAGAAGGGCCCGAACGACTCACACCAGGACGAGAAACCCCAAACGACTCAAATCACGAGGAGCGCTTTCTCTCCCTCCTCCTCCGCCTCGTCCTTCTCCCGCTCCCCCCACAAGGAGGATGTACAAGGAGGCGGGAGGAAGGAGGAACAGGGGAGACCTGCGGGGCCAAGCGGACACACGCCTGAAAAACACGACTGTCGGCATGCTTCGCAAGAGCTGCTGCTGTGAGATGGGCTGGTGGGGATACGCGAAGCGTAAAGAATTACACTGCGTCCGCGCTTCCAAGGCCACGATCCCTCGTAAATTACGGCTTCGTCCGCTCTCCCTGGGCCACGGTCCCTCGTAAACTACGGTGCGTCCGTGCTCCCAAGGCCGCGCTCCCTCGTGAACCACCCTGTGTCCGCGCTCCCAGGGCCACGTTCCCTTGTGAATCACGTTGTGTCTGCCCCCCCAGGGCCGGGATCCTTTGTAAAGTACGCTGCGTCCGCGCTCCCAGGGCCATGATCCCTCCAAAATTACGCTGCGTCCGCGCTCCCAGGGCCACGATCCCGCGTAGATTACGCTGCGTCCGCGCTCCCAGGACCACGTTCCCTTGTGAATTACAATGTGCCAGCCCACCCAGGGCTACGATCCCTGGTCAACTAAGCTGCGTCCATGCTCCCAGGGCCACGATCCCTGCTGATTTACGCTGTCTCCGCACTCCCAGGGCCCCCTGGGACATCCTTCGGCGTCAGTTCCTGGAAGTCTCCAGAACAAGCGTTTTGCTTGAGACATCCCCATTATGTAAAACGAGCGTTTCGCTCGAGACAACCGCATCGAGCGAACATGCTTATTTTACCTAGTGTTTATCGATCGGAATTTCAAAAACCAAATTTCGCTCGGGACGTCCTCAAAATTAAACTCCGCCGGCCCACGCTTTCCTCGTCAATTAACGCAAGATTATCCCGGCAAAGCAACCTAACAGCGATGTGTAGAAGCATATCTGAAAGCATTCCCCTTAAGATTCAGATGAAAATCCAGTTGTCGAATTCTGCTGTTCTCGCAGTCGTAGTCGCATTCGCGATGACAGTCGCAGCGGCAACGGCAGTCGCAGTCACAGCCTCAGCCTCAGCCTGCCTCCTCCTCCTCCTCCTCTTTCTCCTGCTCCTCCTCCTCCTCCTCCTCCTCCTCCTCTTCCTCCTGCTCGTCCTCGTTCTCGTCCTCCTCGTCTTGCTCGTCCTCCTCCTCCTGGTGCTCTCTCCTCCTCCTCCTCCTCCTCCTCCTCCTCCTCCTCCTCCTCCTCCTCCTCCTGGTGGTCCTCGTTCTCCTCCTCCTGGTGCTCTCCCCCCCCCTCCTCCTCCTCGTCCTCCTCCTCCTCCTCCTCCTCGTCCTCCTCCTCCTCTTCCTCCTCCTCCTCCTCCTCCTCCTCCTCCTCCTGGTAGTCCTCCCCCTCCCCTCCTCCTCCTCCTCCTCCTCTTCCTGGTCGTCCTCGTTCTCGTCCTCCTCGTCTTGCTCGTCCTCCTCCTCCTGGTGTTCTCTCCTCCTCCTCCTCCTCCTCCTCCTCCTCCTCCTCCTCCTCCTGGTGGTCCTCGTTCTCCTCCTCCTGGTACTCTCCCCCCCCCTCCTCCTCCTCCTCCTCGTCCTCGTCCTCCTCCTCCTCCTCCTCCTCTTCCTCCTCCTCCTCCTCCTCCTCCTCCTCCTCCTCCTCCTCCTGGTACTCCTCCCCCTCCCCTCCTCCTCCTCCTCCTCCTCCTCCTCTTCCTGGTCGTCCTCCTCCTCCTGGTCGTCCTCCTCCTCCTGCTCGTCCTCCTCCTCCTCCTGCTCGTCCTTCTTCTCCTGCTCCTCCTGCTCCTCGTCCTGCTCCTGCTCGTCCTCGTCCTCCTGGTCTTGCTCGTCCTCCTCCTCGTCGTGCTCTTGCCCCTGCTGAAAATGTGGCCCAGGAATGGGAGTTCTGGGAAGTCGAAGAGCACGAAGTTGCCTACAGTTGGCTACGGGCATTCAAAATGTGGCCCGGGAATGGAGTTCTGGGAACTCGAAGAGCACGAAGTGGCCTACAGTTGGCTCCGGCTATTCAAAATGTGGCCCGGGAATAGAGTTCTGGGAACTCGAAGACCAGGAAGTGGCCTACAGTTGCTCCGGGCATCCAGAATGTGGCCCGGGAATGGAGTTCTGGGAACTCGAAGAGCACGAAGTGTGTGACTGTTGCATCCGGCCCTCCAGAATGTGGCCCGGGAATGGCGTTCTGGGATGTCGAAGAGCACGAAGTGTGTGACTGTTGCATCCGGTTATTTTAAAGGTGGCCCGGGAATGGCGTTCTGGGATCTCGAAGAGCACGAAGTGTGTGACTGTTGCATCCGGGTATTGAGAATGTGGCCTGGGAATGGAGTTCTGGGAAGTCGAAGA